AATCGGCTAATCAAAGATTATTTAATCAGTATCTCCCAAATGCTCAATGTCAGCTGGGTTGATTTTAGAAACTGAGTTGAAAGCAATTAAGAATTCATCTATACTCTCCTTGAAACATGGTCACTCTTTTGCTTCATATTTCTAGTAACACGGAAAACAGTCTTTTAAGTAAAGCACAATTGATTTTAGTATTGCTTACAAAGATAGTAACACCATTAATTGGTCACTATGCTAAACTCTTTATGCATTTTTCATTTGGTCCCTTCAGTACGGTTATTGCTGTTATTGTGCACAATTTACAGAGAAGGAAATAGAGGCCTACAAAGCTGATATGACCTGTCCACGGTCACACAGCCATCAATACATTGAAGAGCAAGAATGAAATTCAGGCCAACTCCAGCCATCCTCTGTAGTCATGACTCATCGCTGCTTCTACCCATTATCTTGGATAGTCTTCTGTATGCTGAACTGAAATCCAGAAGAGTTATTTATCTTACGTGCATTCAGCCCAGAATCATGTTTGCAGGGCTTGGAGAGCCTGGTCTGCATTTCCCATTTAAATGTAAGGAGTCTTTTGTCACCCTACATATCCTCTTAGTATCTTGGCTAGCATTAGTTTCTTATTCATATATTTTGATATGTGATAACTTAATATATTGTCTGCATAAAATCACATACCCTCTTTTCAAATTTCTCAACATTTGGAAAGGCAAAAGGTAAAAGAGGAGATGATTTGATTATTGTTTATAACATTGTTGCTATCCAAAGTTAGTATGCCCTTTCAAGATAGCTATTTGACAATTTGTTAAAGCAATATAAAATTTCATTTAGCAGCATAGTTAAGAGCCATAACATCAGATAGACATATGTATATTTTTACCTATCAATAATTGTAGCTAGCATACACATAGATTTCAGTCTAAGGAGTATGAGAGATATCAGATAGACCCATGTCAATCTTTCGTTATAGAGGAAACTTCTTTTTAAATATGTTGAAGTATTTTATTAGGAACTGCCTGTCAGCAAAGATGACATCTATAAAACTTACAAAGAAATCACATTTTTGAGGAAGAGAACTTTTTTTTTTTATCTTCAGCTGTGGTTAATTCTCTCTATTGAAATAAATACAACTGGCTACCTTTTTTTTTATTGAAAAAAGGAAGTGGTTCGTAATCCTGGCTGCACATTAAAACTTCATGGGGTAGATTAAAAAAAATAAACTACTCCTGCCTGAACTCCATGAGCATATTTAGTTCATCAGACATCACCTACCCTAAGTGATTTCCAAAGTGCAGTCAGAGTTGACAACAACAGCTCATCTTAGGGAAGACGTCAGTCAGTGTAGTGGGAACAGCCATTTGCTCCTCAGAAACATTAAGTACCGGGGAAATTTTTCCCCCTATCATTACTTTATATACCTTAAAAGTACCTTAAAAATTCTTAAGAGTGCATGGCATTTTCCTCTAATATCTTGCCTTGACATTTGACAATATAATGTAACTTTAAGATTAAGAAATTTAAAGAGATGCAGATCGGTTCTGTTCTGAAAACTAGGTGATCTGACTTCTGCGGAAACATCACTTTCCATGGATTGACCTTGGAAAAAGTATAAAGCTTCTCTCGTCTTCAAATTTCTCATCAGTACCATCCCCGAATCTCATGCCTCCTGTCATTTTTAAAGTTCTTAAAATCTTCTGTGAATTGTCTAGGAACAGGTAATGTCCCATGGTTTTTAATCACCTGAGAAAATTTTATTTAAAATTTCCAAGAGGAGTTTTTTTTTATGTAACAAAGGGCATCATTTCCTTGAAATTTAGTGACTTTTCCTGTGCGTCAAAATTTTGCATGCCTCTGGAAAACTAAATCTCTTCTCTTATTTTCATACAAACCCTCCCACTATTCAAGGATAAGCCCCCAAAAACGTTTGCTTCTCCTGCTCATTGCAGCACCATGGACCTGGCACAGAAGCTATACAGTCTGGTTCGATTATATAGGCAGAAGCCTCAAATCTGTGCTTTATGCTGTTAGACTAAATTTCTACTTTTCTGTCATTTTTTGCTACCATGAATTTGCTTCATGTCTTAACTAATAATATAGCATACAGCATCCAGTTCATTTTTTTTCACATGAGACAGTCAATAATACTTCCAATTCTCTTCTTGAAAAATCCTCAAGATTTTTCTGTCTGTATAGTTGTCACTGAATGCTTAAGAAGTCATATGTCACAAGGGCAAGTAGCTGGACGATTTGTCAATATTTTCCCATAGATGTTAACATATCTACAAAGAGCAGTAAGTTATTCTTTATGACTTATAGAATTTAAATTTGCTCAGGAAAAACAGGAGCAGACATTTCTCACGAGGATTGCACACTTGAAATATACTTGGCAATAAACAAATGAGAAAACAGTAGATGATGTCATACACGAGTTGCATCTGCTCCCAGATACTAGTGACATCATTTATAATGACCTTTTACATACTGAAAATTGCCAAAACTCCTGCTCTGCTATTCCTTTTGGAAAGCTGGTTGGTGTGTAGTGTTTAATTAAGTATTTTAAAATGTTCTTCTGTAGGCCTGCTACCCTTTAGCTTAAGTTATGCCAGCCTGTCTCTGTTAGTTTAAAGAAAGCAGACATAGTTTATTGCCTGTCTCTTCCTCTCTCTCTCTCTCGCCAGTGCAGATACAGAATAATATTAGTATTTTTAAGTGAAGTAAAATAGGCTATTTAGAGATGTGGAAATGTAAGTTTGAATGTGTAGTTAATTTAACGTGTTGTCTGTGTAAAATATATCAGATGTGATAAGGAATAATTTAATGAAAACACCCATAATTTAGTATTACAGTCGTTTAAAGGATAATGCATTATTATTGAAATAATCCTCTTCCTCTGTCACTTTTTTGGCATTATGGAACATTCCCAACCTCAAAGAAACTGCCACATAACTGAAGTCCCTTCTTATGTATCCCATGAGTGAACTGCCTTTCCTGGCTATCTAATTTATCCAAAGAACATCTCCTTGGTCAGTATCACAAACTATTTTATTATTTTCTTACACTTGTTTATTAATAATTTTCTGTGTCATGTTTTGTCATCAGGGAAGGAAAAACCACATTCATGTTTTCTTTCCTTTTTTTCCCCTCTCATGCTCTAGCATACGATTGAGAACTTGTTAGTTAAATGAAGTTCATATCTTACTTGAAGTATAGACACATTATTCTCAGCAAGAGAAATACTGCATTTAAATTCGATTATCTTGTGTGAAAACTCTTTCAATTCGATCTTGGAAAAATACTCACGTTTTACAGAAAAAAACTGTAGTTTTTTTCCATTGACTTTGTGTTTGCCAGGAGTTCACAGATTTTGCTAACAATTTAAAAAGAACTGCCTCAATGATAGAGTTACTACAATGTGGTAATTAGCTGTAGCAGCATTTCAGAGTGTAATTGATATGATTTGGCTGGGTTAACCAGTGTTCTAGAAAACAGACTACAGTCATACAGACACTGGCATTGTGCCTGCCTTCATATTCATACTTGCACTGTGGATCCCTGAGACATACAGCTTTTGTCACTCTGCTCTGATCTACTATTCCCGAAACATCCCTGGTGGCAAAACTATGTCAGTCTCTGGAAAATTTTCCCTCAAGTCCCTCAGTTTTCAGTTATTAATGAAAAAAAAAAAAGTAAGAAAATGTTAAAGGTACTGAGAAAAGTCCAGAGTTTACATCTGGTTTCAACGATTTCAACTTGCGCAACACTCCATGTTTGTGAAAGTGACCCAGGAAATCTTTGAACAGGATGTAATCAACCTCCGATCCGCTGAGAAACACTGCAAGAATGACTTCAGCTGCCAAAAATAATAATGTCGCTTACAAGCAGTTCTTCCTATGCCTGAGGAAGGAGTCACACATGTGCGTCTCTGCTGGCTTCGGGGAAGCAAGCAAGGAAAAAGGCAACTCCTACCGTCCCCAGCCGAAACCACCCAGCACCAGAACAGGGAGCTGTGGTTCATTCCAAGGGTGCTGGCAATATTGAGGAAGATTCGTATTCACAAAAATCCGAACGGTAAGTGACTCCAGACAAAGGCATTATTTTGGCAGCAATTCTGTGCTGTCACTTTCCCTCTGTAACCACGCTGCCCTGGCTTGTGAAGGCAGAGCTGTTAAATACCTCTTAGTCACCAGCCCCAACACAAATCTTTCTATTTTTTTCAAAATATTATCTGGCAGCGCTCCTTAAAGGACATCAAGAGTACAGGAGGGAATATTTCCGAATGATCTTTTAGATAAGTCTCATCACAAAAGCCCTGCACCTACCTCTGTCAAGTCTGGGCTGCTCAGTCGGCATGGGCTGGATGTGAAACAAGACCCGGGATGGTGACTTCTCCAAATTTACCAGAAAGAAAGGACCTGAGTTGCTTGTCCTTTAAGTGTCTCTAAACATGGTTTGCATAGCTGGATCTCTGCTTATCTGTGCCTTTCGGCTTTCGCTTCCATACATGGATCTGTTCCCAACAGTAACTCCAAGCTGTCGAAAAGAAGCTATCTGGCAGCTCTCTGCTTCATCCAACACATGGATGTTAAAAATACACATATAGAAATCCTTCCAGCCAGGCCCATTTCCCTCCCCACCATCCTGCCACTATGCCTTTTTGCAAATACACTTTCAGATTGGCATTTCTACCCTCCAGACAATCAGTTTTTGCCTGATTCCTACACAGAGCTTGCAGGATGTAGATTTGCTTAGCTTTGTGAAAACAGAGACACAATGATAGTTTGTTACCTGGTCTTCACCCTTAAAGATTTTATCGATAAAATATGTATGGGACCTGCAAAATGTTTAGTGAATGGATGAATATATACATGAATAGCTGAACAAATGGATAACATTATATGTGGATGAATACATACATAATGTATTATTTAATTGGGAATGGTTGTTAACACTTTGGACTATTTATTTTCAAGGGCAAGATAGCAGCACTAGGTCAAAGTAATTAAGATCTCTAAGAGAGGAAAGGCCAGGTTTATATTTGAACAACTTCTCATGTAGGATATTGTGGCACTTCTTACTGAACTCCTAGCTAGCCCATGGTTAGAGATTTAAAAAACTGTTTTTATTTAATGCTAAAAGAATGTAAACATGAATAGAATACTAATTACTACACGTATTAACTGTGATACTTCAAATGACACAAAACTGTGACCTAAATCTTAAGCGAGAAGGGGTGGGGGGCTAGGGGGCAGGAGGGTAAGGAGGGCAGGGTTGAGGGGTGGGAGAATAAATCCTGTATAATGAACAGGTGAGAAGTACTCCCTTAGGGATTGCAGAAAGTCCACTAAGACTTCCAATTCCTGGAAATTGAGCTTTCAGTTTTAAAATGTCTTCTCTTTTTTTTCAATCTGTTGTTACTCTTGTGTGTAAGAGATCAAAATATGAGGGGTGGGGTGGGGATTTCCAAATAACATTTTCCATTGGCCAGTTTCATTTTCAAAATCCTATTAAAACTCTTATAGAGTCTCTTGTTTGAGAAGAAAAAAGAAACTTGAGGGACAATTCATCTTAGTGCGCTGAAATGGGACCAGTTTGCTAAAAATACTCCAGAGGAAAAAAGGAGGGATAGTGAAAACAAGACTGGCAAAATGGTAATTGTTGCAGGCAATCAAGGTAGTGGTAGAGGGTTCTTTATATTGTCCTCTCTACTTTATGTATGTTTTAAAATTTCCATAAAAGAAATAAAAGAAAAAAGAGAAGAGTACAAAACATATATTAGTGGCAAGTTTGAGGAATCCTAGATTCCAGTAACCTCTGGGCAAAAGCATTAAGGCCAGAAGGGGCAAGATGTTTTTAATGCGAAGTATTTTGACATTCAAACCTCTCCCACCTACTTCCAATTAGATATATATTACATATTTATTATGTTATCTATATTATCTATATATTTTATAGAACATCTGCATAATAATGTATCATCTATATAATAATATATATTCTATATAATAATTCTATCTAATGAAACATTAAGATATGCTGTTTAAAAAGCTGACCAAAGGCAGATAAGGGAGGAACATGGTAGATGGTTGCTTTACTCAGGAGCCATTCAATACCTTCTCTTCCCTTGCCTTTTTCTCCTTAGAAGTCCAAAAGCAAAACTCTTTTTTTCCTCATTGTCCCTTGCAGCTGGTAGTGACCATGTAACACGGTTCTGGCCAAGCAGGTATGAACAGGAGCCCTCTGGGTGAGACTTCAGGGCAGCATTAATTTGTCTGCTAAAAAGGGACAGGTGCAGCATTTGCCCCTCTCATCCTGGTACCCCCTCCACTTATTTCCTTCCCAGAAAGTACATTTTAGCCTGAAATTTCAGCAGTTGTTTAGTGACCAGGAGGGGAGGAGCAGGAGGACAAAGGCCCCTGCAAGGTCAGGAAGGTGGACCAGACGGACAGAAAGAACTTCAGGTCTCAACAGTGTCATGCTGAACTACCCACCTCTAGACTTCTTGTTCCATGAGAAAAGTAAAATCATAATCAACACAAAGAGAGAATCTCATCCATTTTGAGAGATTGGGCTTTTGTTAGGACTTTTCTTTCTGCTCCAAATTTGGGATATGTGAGGCAAGAGAAAACGCGGGGAGCTCATCCTCACGCTGTTCAAGGGTCCCAGTGCCCCTCGCTGGTCTGCCTTCCGCACTCTACCTTGCAGAGTTTTCTGTGCTTTTTTTAGGGCTTTAGTTGTAGGTAATGGGAGAAGCAGGGAAAAGTATCTTTACTGTATCTTTCTTAAACTTCCTATCTCTTAAGAAGTACTTACTTCTTTTCTTTCTACTGAGTACAAAGTTGGCTAAAATCAGTAGTATTTTTCCTGTGGCCGGGTAACCAAATGCTCATTTGTTCAGGGAGCATTAGGTTTGATAAATACTGCCTGGAAAGAAGCAAATAGGAAAACACAACCGAAACAAAGAAACAAAAGAAGCAACAAAATAGATTGCAACTTTAGAGAGAAGATATGCAAATTTGAGCATAATAGATATTATTTGGAAATTTCAGTTAAAATCACGTACAAGCTTCTTAGCTTTTTGTTATGTTTATTTTAGTTTTTAACCCAGAGTTTAAAAAATAATAATTGCTGGGATTTAGCTGCTGTGGAAGGTAGCTGTACATGGTATGGAAATTTGGAGAGGTTGTAGAAATGTCAATATTATAACCCTATGATAAACACTTAAAATTTAATAGACCCTGGGGCTTGGTAATCACTTTCACTGGAATATATTTTATTAATTATTTTAAACCAAATAAAGTTCCAATGGAATTTATTTTTTTAATCTTGAAATAAAAATTTTTTTATCGATATATAGTTGGCATAATATTATATAGTTTCAGGTATACAACATAGTGATTTGACGTTTATATACATTATGAAATGCTCATTACAATAAGTGTAGTTATCATCTGTCACCATACAAAAGTATTATGATATTATTGACTGTACTTCCTACACTGTACTCTTCATCCCCATTCTTATTTATTTTAAAACTGGAAGTTTGTACCTCTTGATCTCTTATTACCCATCCCGCCATTCTCCTTTCTTCTGGCAAACACCCATTTGTTCTTTGTATTTATAAGTCTGTTTCTAGGGGTTTGTTTGTTTGTTTTGATTTTTAGATTCCACATGTAAGTGAAATCATTAGTATTTGTCTTTCTCTGTCTAATTTAGTTCTCTTAACATAACACCCTCTAGGTTCATCCACATTGTCACAAATGGCAAAATTCCATTATTCCTTATGGCTGAGTTATATTCCATTGTGTGTGTATGTGTGTGCGCATGTGTGTGTGTGTGTGTGTGTGTGTGTGTGTGTATACCACATCCTCTCCACCCACTTAGGTTGCTTCCATATTTGGCCATTTATAAATAATGCTGCAGTAAACATAGGGGGTGCATATATCTTTTAGAATTAGTGTTTTTGGGTTTTTTTGGTAAATACCCAGAAGTAAAGTTACTGGATCATATGGCATTTCTATTTTTAAGTTTTGGAGGAAACTCCATGCTATAGTGACTGCACTAGTTTACGTTCCCACCAAAAGTTCACAAGGCCTTCCTTTCCTCCACGTCCTCTTTGTCCTCCATTTTTTAATGCCAACATCCAAGTTTGAATTTAACATTCAATAAGAGTTGTTTAATAATATTATAATAACATAAGTTATAATAATTTATTGTAATACATAATAATAAATAATAATTTGCTTAATTAGCTCCCTTCAATACAACTTTTGCTAAATGCAACCAAATCTATCTCATTATTTAAAATACAATCATTCTACAAAATTTCAGATCTCAGCAAGCTTTCTTCTAAAAAATACTGAGCTTTCAATTTTAACATAATGTTTGGAGGACAATTATATCTCAGGTACAAAACTCAGACATCTAGTCCCTTTTCTATTTCTTTCTCTCCTCTTCCTGAGTTGTGTCAATGATTGCCATGATCACAGCTACAATACATAAGCTACTAATTTTCAAATATCTATCTCTTTTCATGGCACCCTTCCTCTATACTCTCTGTACTGGAATATAAATTCTCCATATTTCCAATTTTGTTTGACATTTCCTCTTGGATATACTTCAGTGACCTAAAATAACACATGTCCCAGATTGAACTTCTCACATCTTTCCCCTTCAAACCACTCTACCTGGTATTTATTTCTTCTTCATAAGTAGGGCTTTATGTGTTTGAATAAACATATACATATACAAATACATATACACATTTAGTATCTCAAGCTGGAAAGTTCAGTGGCATTTGTTCCTTTTCCATGCCCCCTGCATTTAATCACCACAAATTCCTCAAATTCCTTAAGAGCATGTCTTGATCTCAGTCTGTCCAACACTGTTCTCATGACATCCATTATTTCTCTATGGAAAGAGCTTCTGCTCTGATCTACCTAATACCAGTCTCTTCATAATATATGTTCATTTTCCACTTTTTATGTTCCTAAAATATGAATCTATGACAAAATCATCATCAATAGCAAATCTCCATATTTGTTGCTCTGTTAAAACCATGCTTGGCTTCCCAGTGATTAAAAGGTACACTTCAATCTTCACTGATATCCTATGCAATTACATCTCCTAGCACCCTCTCATATGTAACTTATTCTCTAATTCCAATGAGCTCTTCACTATACCTCATGCATAACACAACCTCTATGACTAAGCTATAGCATATGTTTTTCTTTTCAAAGTGCTGCTTATCTTTTATGATCAAACTACAGACCACTACCACCATGAAACCTTCCTTGAATTTTCCATCCATTCTCCAGCTGCACTTTGCTAATTCTTTGTACAATTTATGGTGCTACATTGACTCTTCAACTATACCATTAATTTCTTGAGTTCTAGAACCATGTCTTATTTAATATTATATCTAGCATGTGAACATTGGACACTTAATAAATGTACAACATTATGAA